GGCTGATTTTTGATTTATTTTAGAGATGAGGTCTCGCTGCCCAGGCGGGTCTCGAACCCGCAGGCTCAGGCAATCCACTCACCTCAGCCGCCCAAAGGTGCAGGATTACAGGCTGAGCCACTGAGCTCGGCTGGCTAATTTTTTATATATTTTTTGTAGAGACAGGGTCTTGCTACGTTGCCCACACTATCCTCAAACTCTCAAGTGAGGCCTCAAGTGATCCTCCTGCCTCAGCCTCCCAAAGAGCTGGGATTACAGGCAGGAGCCACTGCTCCCTGTGAAGGTCCTGGGGAGGATCTTGAAAGACAGGGAGGTTAAGGGCAGTAGCTGAAAGTCTTGAAACTGGGACACAAGGTAGAACTGTCTGACCAAAGTCCATGTTGCCTCACTAGAAGTGTCCATAGCCTTCAGCTGGTCTCTGCCAGAAGAAGAGGCTGAGGGATGGTCCAGACCTTCTTGAAAAGGTGAGAAGGTGAATCACAAAGAGATGGCGAACTTTCCAGGTTCATCCAGCCAGTAAGACACCTCACCTGGGCTGGTACCACCTGTTCTCTGATCTTGTTCCAGAATGATGCACAGGTAGATAGGTGGATGAGTGAGTGAGTGGGTAGATGGATGTGTTGGTGAGCAGATGAGTGGAGAGACCAACAAAGGAAAGGGTGGGTGACAGGGTACCAGGGCACCTTAAAGCATTTGCCTCAGTTGGAGGGCTTCTTCCTCCAGGGCTTCCAGATCTAGCCCACTCCCTGGTTGTGTCAATCTTGCAGCTGACCACAGGGTCCGTAATTCCCTTTCCCAGAGACAAGGGCTCAGTTTCCTTAAGCACCTGTGGATATAAACCTCTTCTGTGATCCTTAATTCCATTCTATAGAGGAAGATGAGGGTCAGAGAAAGGGTATGGCTTGTCCACAGGGACAGAGACATGAAGCTGACTGGTCCCTATACTTAGCAGTGGGTCAGTGAGTGCTTGTGAGGATTTGTGCTAAGGAGGTGGGCCTCATTCTGCAGGCAGCACCTAAACCCTGCTAAGGCAAGGTGGGAGATAACCAGTTGTTCAGTGTGGATGGAAGAACATGTCACCTATGTTCTGCTCATCCTTGCTGTATGCTCCCAGGTAATTCGTTTCACCTCTCTGGGCCTTGGTTTACTTGTTGATAAAATGGGCCTCCCTTTTTGGGGTTGCTGGGAGGACTCTGTGAGATAATTCCTGTAGAACACATGTAGCACAATGCCAGGTACACCATAAGAGCTCAGTAATGTGACTTTCCCCAGTGCATGGATTGTTGAGGGGCTTGCCACAGATGCCTACAACCCCCACACACTCCTTAGAGGCCCCATCAGACCAAGGTTTTTGGGGAGGAGTATGGAGAGGGGCTTCAGCTCCAGCCCCCATCTGGCCTTGCTGGGTAACCCAGGGCAAGACACCCTTTCCAGCCCTGGCTCCCTTCCAGTGATAGGCACTCTCTGGTTCTGTAATGTTGAGGGGTCTCACGGGGCTCTGGTCTGGAGCTGGAGGGGGCCAAGGGGTCGGCCCCAGTGGGGGCCTCATCTCCCCCTCTCCCAGGCCCCTTTCAGAGGCACAGGGCCAGATCAAAGAGACCCAGCACTGAGGATCGGAGGCGGGCTTGGAAAAAATGTAAACATGAAGATATTTTTAAACATTTTCCAGCCTCAGAGATTAGGGCTCTTGAAACAAGAGGCCCAGAGGTCAGTCCGGCCCTCACTCAAAGAAAGAAACAGTCTTGGAACCTCAAAGACCACACCCCACTCACACCTACCTACACCTACGCCAGGACTCCAGCTTGGGCCTCAGGGCACATGTTCTTTCTATGGTCTCACCTCCAGCCATCCTGCTATGGCAGGATGACATGTTTGTAATGAGGGAGGACCTAAAGGATGGCAAGAGCTGTGGGGGGCCTACGTGACAGGGCTGCCCTGTCACTCTACCAGGCCTGGGTGTCTGCACATGAGTGTAAACATAATATCTTCATGTTTACATTCTGTGGGTGTGTAAGCATGTGTTGCAGTCTGTCTGCATGATGCCTACGTCAGAAAGTGTGTGTTGTGTGAAGAGTTCACTTCGGCCCACGCTTCCTCCCCTCCCCTTTCATCATGACCTCCTCCCTGGGATCCTTGGGTAGGTGGGCAACTTGGGGAACAAAGGCAGGCTCAAGAGTCAAGAGGGAGAGTCATCAGAGAAACAGAAAGGAGGTGAGGAAAGCAAAGGTGCCAGAGTGGAGGGTGAGGAGGTAGGGAGGGAGGTACCAGGATGGGGCCATGCAGTAAGTCAGGCTGTGAGAGCTGCAGGAGCCAGTGACGTGGGGACTGGGGACCAAGCTCCCTTGATTTCCCCCAGGTGTCAGTGACTCAGGAACTTGGAGACAAAGGCTCCCTGGATCTCCCTGCTTCCAGTGTCACAGCAATGCTCATCATGGGTTCCATGACAACAGCCTCTTTCCTCAGAGTGACGCGGCCATCTTTGCACAGTCACAGCAGTATCACAAGGAGACTTACGCAGGGCCCCTCCCACATCCTGTGAAGATATCCCAGGGACCCCTACCCATGGGATGTGGGGACCCTCACGCTAGTCACATCTCTACTGAGCAGAAAGTCAGAGTCTGAGTTCAACGGGCACTCAGAAGCCAGGCGAGGCTGCAGTTGTCAGGACAATGAGGGACCCTGGCCCTAGGAGAGGCCCCAGCTGGCTGTCTCCCACAACTCAGGGGCTAGCTACTGTGCTACTTTGCCCTGCTTATGGGTCCAGAGTGATGCACCCAGCTCTAGGTCACACAGCTCCTCAATGGAAGGCAAGGTCAGGATCTACAAGGCAGTTCCCGCTAGGTCCCCAGCTGAGGCCTGGAGTTTTGCAGTAAGGTGTGGTG